CTCTCAGCCCACAATGCCCAAACCTCAATCTAGATAACACTACTGCATCTCTTCTCTGACATCTATAATTACATCTGTCTTCTCTACCATTTTTTGTACTGAATAATACGCTCTCCCATTCCTTTTCACAATCCCACGACCTTTGCCACATTTCTTTTACTGACCTCTTTATTATTTCTGTGTAATCTGGTAACCCATGCTGCAAATCAAGCTGAACTCTTTCCTCCTGCACTGCTTTCTTCGGCACCTCATCTGCCTCCTCATTACCGGAAACCACAAAACCCACCTCATTCCCTGCTTTATGACTTCTATACAACACCTGCAAAATTTCCACAAGTAAGTCAGGTCTAGCCTCAGTTTTAATATTTTTAATTGTATTTAGGGTTGCAGCTGAATCACTACATATGACAGAATACTCCTTTTGTTATCTTCTACCCACCTTACTGCCCATAGAACTGCCATCAACTCTGCAGTAAACACTGACAAATGATCCTATATCCTTTTTTATAACCTAATTCGGGTATACTTTTACCAAAGGCCACTTTCCCACTATCAGGATCCTTTGACCCATCAGTGTAAATTGTAGGTGGTCTCCCCATATTTGACATTGCCGGGATTTTATCTCCTCCATTACAACCTCTGGCATCTTTCTTTTGCTTGTTTTCAAAAAATATAAATCAACATTGGGATCTGGAATCAACCACAAAGGTACTTCTGACCGACATACTGGTGGACATACATTCAAATTCACAATACCAATTTCACCTGCCATGGATTTGATTGTTTCTATAAAGTTTTTTTTTTATTTGCATCCAAAATCCACATCCCAACATGAACATGGTTTTATTTGTATGTTTGTATGATTCAATCTTTAGTCAGGGTTATATTTCTCTTATAACTGCCAAACTGTGAATTGTACAGTCCTCTAGTATTTATTTCCTCAGTGTTTGTTTTGCTGCAGCTTCTGTCCTGTAATGTGTTTTTCATGCATTTGTATTGGATGCTAATCAATGATTTGCAGGAGAAACGTTTCTGATATTCTGTTCTTGCTGTTATTAATGCTGAAACAGTGATTATCTGAGCTGTGCTCTTCAGGTTCAGGTAAACTGTAAAAACAAACAAACATGTAAATTGAAAATAAGTAAAACATTTGATTAAAGTCAAATCATCTTCACTTATAATTACTTTTAACAATATAGATTGTTTCAAAGCAGTTTTACGGTGATAATGTTACAGAAGAGGCTCCCCCAACGCCTTCTCCTCACCACCCATACACAGTAAAAGAAATGGACACAGCGACCCCATTGATTTCAACTGAGAAAATTAAAGAATTGAATTGATGGTCAAATCAGCGAGGTGGCCGGCCCGAAAGGAAAATTCCACCAAAGTGAAAGAGGCAGACAGCACCGCGGCTTAAAACGAAACCAAAATGAGCATGCTTCTGACTGGAGATGTGGCAGAAATCATGTAAAAGGTGACATTTGTCCAGCAAAGAGTCCTGAGTGTCGCAAATGTAGGAAAAGAGGTCATTTCACTGCAGTTTGTAGAACCCGAGAAGTCCATGATGTCGGCCGACCACAAGAGGGAAGCAATGTAATGCATTGAGTTAATTCACAGTGATGACAAAAGTGGAGCTTGGATTGTCACACTCCCAATTCAGGGTACAGACATAGACTTGGACTCTGCTAAACTGACAACGTTCATTACTCCTTTTGGAAGATATTATTTCCGCAGGCTACCGTTCGGTATCACCGGCGCACCAGAAATCTTCCAACGGGAAATGTTGGTAATCCTCAAAGACCTTGAAGGAGTTGCGATCTTCATGGACGATATTTTAGTATTTAGCAACACTCCAGAGGAACACGAGTAGCGACTGCAGAAGACTCTGGAAGACATTGATCGGGCTGGTCTCAAGCTGAACACGGAAAAGTGCCTGTTACGACAGAGTCAACTCGGGTACCTGGGACGTGTCATAGACAAAGAGCGCATTCGCCCAGACACAGCAAAAATAGAAGCTATCACTCACCTTGAAAAGCCAAAGAACGTCTCAGATCTACGGAGAACGCTAGGGATGATTCATTACCTGGATAGACATGTTCTTCATCTCTCAGAGGTTATTTGACCTCTCAATGAGCTGTTGAAACGTGATGTAGTTTGGGACTGGGGTGCTGTACAAGAGGAGGACTTTGGAAATGTGAAACACCTAATCACTAAAGCTCCTGTGCTTTCTATGATGTTACGGAGCCCACAGTCGTCAGCGCAGACGCGAGCAGCTACGGTCTTGGAGGCGTTTTGCTGCCCGACCATGATGGACAGCTGAAACCAGTGTTGAAAAAGAGTGTCTGGCGGCTGTGTGGGCCTGGGGAAAATTCTCATGATTTCTGTGTGGATTGGAAAGTTTCATCCTGCAAACCGACCATAAAGAACGCAAAGGATCTTGATTTAGTTCTGCTGAAATGTCAAAGGCTGTTGCTGCGGATGATGCGTTACAATCCTGTCGCACAATATGGACCTGGAAAAAACAACTGGTGGACGCTGATATGCTTTCACAACACCCTCAGCCAACCGTTTCAACAGTAGTCTCTGAATTAGTCCAAGAAGTGGAAGCCTATGAGAATGCAGTCAGTGGTGCATGGCCAATTTCTCCCACAAAGCTGGAATCTGTGAAAAGAGAGACAGAGATGGATTCTGAGCTACAAGAGGCAGTATGTGACTGACGGCCGGCCCAGGTATGCAGCTAATGTCCTTGAAATCATACTACAGTGCACGCCATCATTTGTCAATTTTACAGGATCAACTGCTTTATGATGACAGGATCATAATTCCCCAAAATATGAGGTCTGACATACTGCAAAGATTGCACAGCGGACATGAAACGTAGAGAGAGAGAGAGAGAGAGCCAGATGGAGTGTGTGTTGGCCAGGCTTCAGTCAGGAAATCCAGCAGCTAGTTAACAGTTGAAGGACTGTCTGGAGTCAAGACCTACCCAAAGGAAGGAGCCACTTTTAACCACTCCACTGCCAGACCGTCCATGGGGGAGAATCGCTGTGACATCTGCGAGGTGAATAAGCAACATTACTTGGTAGTCGTGGACTATTTTTCAAGATATATTGACATTGCTCGTCTTTAAAACTTGTCAGGTGAAACAACGCATGCTGGTCTAAAGAACATGTTTGCACGATGGGGCTGTCCCAATGTTCTCTTTACTGACAACGGCCTACAGTTTAGTGGAAGTGCTTTCAAAGACTGATTTTCAGCACATTACTTCAAGCCCTTATTATGCCCAGTCAAATGGAGAAGCTGAAAGGATCCTGAAACAGTCACACCCATTCACAGCCTTGATGAGCTACACCCATTCAAGCTACAGGCGTAAGTCCAGCTCAGCTGATGATGGGAAGACAAATAAGAACTACAGATCCCACAGTGGAGTCTCACCTGCGACCTGAATGGCCTGATCTGCGGCAAGAGAGAAAAGCTGAACAAAAGGCGAAAATGACCTACAGGAATATTACAACAAAAGAAACGGTGTTAGGACATTACCAGAGCTTCCACTAGGAACTGTTGCAGTCGAGCTGGATGCTGGAAGAGGTCGTTTAGGATCTGGGACTATTCTCAGAAAGTGTGAATCACCTCGGTCTTACCTCATCCAATCTGAAACTGGAGTATTTCCACGAAATCGTCAGTGACACTGAACCAGCATCTACTTCAGTTCAACAAACTATTAAGTTCATGGTCAAAGTCAACTTGTAACGGAGCCGGATAACGTCCCAGACAGTGCAGTGCAGTAAGAACAACCAGGATCTGATCTACTTGAGTCTGATTCCAGTCACACTACAGTTATGGAGCTTTTCCACTGCTGGTACGGATCAGTACAGTTCGGCTCACTTCGCTTTTCCACTGTGTGGTACGACTCGTCTCGGCACGGCACGGCTCGCTTTAGCTCGGTTTGCTTTCCCACTGCAGTACCGCTTCAAAGTGGGTGGGATTGTAGTCTGACCGTTATAGTTTATCCGCTCCTCGGCGACCAACTAGAGGAACGTCTGCACTTCGTCCACTGACCACGATTCAGCCATTTCTTTTTGGAAGTTTTCTTTCTTTCTTTTTTCTTCAAGCAAGTCAAGCAAGTAGTTTTAAAACAGGTGCTACAGCGGTGGCTGTTACTGGCTAAAGTGGCTATTTCGCAAATACAATGACGCTGGTAGTGACGATTCTGTCTGACCAATCAGTGATCTGCAGTGTGTTCACGTCACATTTTAGTATCGGTACGGTACGCTTGGACCCTCACAGAAGTGGTACCATTTAAAGCGAGCCGAAGCGAGCCGTACCGTACCGCACCATGCAATGGAAAATGCCACAAGTGAGCCGTCCTGAGCCGAGCTGTACCGTACCATAGATTAGATAGATTAAGTTTATTTATCCTTGCGGAAAATTGTTCTGCACCTACAGTACGTCTGATACATTTAAACAAAGACAATTTTACATGACAGAATACAACATTCCCTCATCCCCACCGCACCCCTACACACACACAGCATCAGGACTGAAGACTCAAAGAAACCTAATTAAAGTGCTATTAGTGCTATTAAAGTGCAGTCCTACAGGTAACTTCTTGTTCATCAAAGTGATGCTAGTTGGAATAAATGATTTACTGGCTCGATTTGTCTGGAAATAAGGTAACCTAAACCTTCTCCCTGATGGCAACAGCTCGTATGCCCGGTGTAAGGGATGTGACGTATCTTTATTAATAGCTATACCTTTCTTCAACACTCTTCTTTCACAGGTAATAGCCATACTGTCTAGTTTATGCCCCGCGACCTTACTGGCCTGGTTAAATATCTTGCTCAATCTATTTTTGTTGGTCAAAGAGAAATACCATGCAACGCAACAGAAAAGTAGCATGCTCTCCACAGATGAGTGATAAAAAAGTAACATCATATCTCTGTCCACTCTAAACTGTCTCAGTCTCCACATAAAGTACAGTCTCTGCAGCCCCTTTTTATAGATGGTGTCGGTATTACTATTCCACTGCAACTTATGATCTATTATTGTGCCTAAGTACTTGTGCTCTGCAACAATAGCCACATCCTCTCCATCTATAACCAAGCACTGGTGTGGCTGGCTCCCAGTTCTATAATCCATTATAATGTCCTTTGTTTTCTTTATGTTTAGAAGAAGACAGCTGGACCTGCACCAGTCTGCGAATGAATTCACCTAGGCCCTATAATTGGTCTCATCACAATTCTGTATTAACCCCACTATTGCAGTATAGTCTGCAAATTTTATTGTGAGATGCTCGGATGTATTACTTCTACACTCGTTGGTGTAAAGAGTGAACAATACTGGTGAGAGGACACTGCCTTGTGGGGATCATGTGTTGGTCATAATCTGAGAGGACACAACTTCATTTACCCTGAAACACTGTGTTCTCTCCGTCAGAAAGGACTCAACCCACCTGATTATATTAGGATTTACCCCTAACTGCCCCAGCCTCTCCATCATAATGTGAGGCCTGATGGTATTAAAGGCAGAGGAGAAATCTATAATATCGTTTGGGCTCATCCAGATGGCAATAGATATTATGGAGCATATACAGAAGTGCGTCATCTGTACTACGCTTATTCCTATAGGCAAACTGTAAAGGGTCGATATTACATTGCACATCATTTAGAATATATCTAGGCTCTTCATCACTATTGATGTAAGGGCAACGGGACGGTAATCATTTAAAGGGGTCATGAACTGGCTTTTTATATTTTATTATATTGTTGTCTGAGGTCAATTTATGACGTTCGCTTGGTTTTTGCATTCAAAAACATCAAATTGAATAAGTAATAGGCTATTTTGTACCCAAGTTGTGAGCCTTCCTGAAAAACGGTCGGTTTTTATGGGCGTGTCGCACTGAAGACTTGGAAATAAACACCCACTGCTGCGAGTGGAGAACAGTTTTGCATATTATAATGAGTTTAACTCACCCGTCGGTGCAAGTGGGGGAAAACGTCCAATGTTGTCAAATGGCAACCGGATTCGCCCATACATGTTCGACCCAGAGTCCGTCCGTGTGTTGCACAATTCCTGTCAGATCAATATAGACGACACAGCACCGTTCTTTACTCTTAATCGGTCTGCAAATCCAGTCTTGTTTACAAAACAATCCTCAGTGAAATGAAGCGAACAGACGACGATGTTTTACCCTCATCAGCTGGAACGTCATTAAAATTAAAGTTTATCCATGCAGTCCTATTGGAATCCAGAGGAAGCTTATGCAGCGACTGTCTTCTTCCACAACCAGGCGCTGCACATTATTTATTGTTCGGTTGCTCGAGCCGGTTTGTCATCACGAGGTAGGCATGTATGTTAGGCTACTTAGCTATGCGTGTAATGCGCGAATCGGTGGGCGGGGCTAAACCGGCCGTGTTGAAGCAGGCGTTGATCTTCTTCTGCGGGGGTGGTGTTTTAACCCCTTCGACGTCATAGTTTCCCACTTTTAAAAACGAGTCGTTTTCAGAGGCTGGTGTCAATAAAAGCTTTTATTGGACTAACAAGGACGTTTTCAGTTCTGAAACTTACAGGATATTCTTATAATATGATGACCTCTTGGATGTCAAAAGCTCAAGGAAAATTTGATTTCTCAGTTCATCACCCCTTTAAATCAGCTGTACCATGCAGTGGAAAAGGACCACAAGTGAGCCGTCCTGAGCCGAGCCTTACTCTACCATGCAGTGGAAAAGCACCATTAGTTCACCAAAAAGAGTGCAAACAAGGTCTGGACGAATTGTCACAACTCCTAAGAGATTCAAGGAGTTTGCAAGATAAAGAAAGATATTCATATATATATATATATATATATATATATATATAAACGTAAAACAAATGTTGTTTTCTGACTATTGTAATTTCACAGTAGAATGTTACATTTGTTAAGTAACTTATAGGGAAGGGTGATGTGACTTAAAACAGTTTATATCGTTGTTATAGGTAATGTGTCTTTAATCCATTAGGGGGGACCGAGTGAAGTGGCAGATATTCAAAGCATTGTGTGTTTGCATGTAAGTTACGGTCAAAAGCTTGATGTCAATAAAGCTCAGACTTTAATAAAGATGTTAATAAAGACTCAGTTGCTTTCTTCGAACATTACTGTAACAGTGGAGGCTCCCGCTCCGCCACCAGAGGGAGCCTTCCCCGGAATATTGATCATTGGCTTTAAACTCAAATTCCCATCATGCCTCATACCTGGGACTGATTGCGCCTCACACCTGCACTGCATTTACACATACCCATAAAAGACACCTTCACACACCACACCAGTGCGAAGTCTTGATTTGCCCCGGTGATCATTTCTGAGCGTTTATTCCCTGATTCTGGTTTTCTGGTTTTGGACTTTGGACTGTTGAACTACTTCCCGATTGATATCTGCCTGGCCTGAACTTGGACTGTTTCTGATTACGATTATTGCTGCCTGCCTTGATCTCTGCCTGTTTCTGCATTGCTCTGTCTGCCCCGTCTCGACCCTGCCGGTACGACTCTGATTAATAAAAGCTGCAAATGGATTCCTCTGTTCCTTGTGGATCATTACAATTACATTGTTCAGCTAAAGTTAGTTTTGATTGATTCACTTCCATTGTAAACATCATTAGATATTAACGAATAAAGAAGAACAATAAAGGAAACGTATTTTTATATATTTGAGTATTTTCATTGTTCTTTTGTGGTTTATACTTTATAGCTTTATCTTAACGTTTCAATGCAAGTTCATTTCACATGAAGAAATCCTGAAGTTGTTCTTTGACCTGTTTCAACACACCTTGATCAGAAGCTCATCCCTCTTACAACACTGACCAGGAAGAGACGGACTTGTTATACTGACTTTGTCTCGACAAAAGCAATAAAGAATCAGCGATCAGTGGAGTACGAAGAGAAAAACTTTACAGAAGAATTTGAGAAGTTTCTTCCTGAACAAGTTTGATTCTGATCTTTGTGATTCTCATGGTGATTTATTTTTAAAACCGTCACTCAGAAAGTGAAAGTAAAGTTTAGATTGCTGGAGCTCAAACAGTGAGAATGGATGCATTATCTTTAGAAGAACTTTCTTGTCCTGTGTGCTGTGAAATCTTCAAGACTCCTGTTCTTTTATCCTGTAGTCACAGTTTCTGTAAAGAGTGTCTTCAACAGTTCTGGAGAACCAAGACATCTCAGGAGTGTCCTGTCTGCAGGAAAAGATCCTCAAAACATAATCCTCCAGTGAATCTTGCATTAAGAAACTTGTGTGAGTCGTTCCTGAAGGAGAGAAATGAGAGGCGTTCATCAGGGTCTGAGGAGATCTGCAGTTTACACAGTGAGAAACTCAAGCTCTTCTGTCTGGAGGATAAACAGCCTGTGTGTATCGTGTGTGTTACTTCACAACAACATGACAATCATAAATTCAGACCCATCAGTGAAGTGGTTTCATCATATAAGGTAAGACAAATGTTTCTTGATTCACATGTAGACAAACATAACGAGTCATAAAAACAGATCGTTCCGGTTACTAACGTAACCTCGGTTCCCTAAGATAATGAGTATTGCATCAGTAACTGACTCTTATGAGGAAAACCTAGTTTTCAAAGACCAGGTATTATAAAGTATAATAATAATAAAACACTCACACGCCGCTTTAAAACGCTTTAGCGAAGCCGTCCACTGCAGACCCGAACAGACCCGAGGGAGAGACGGGAGTCAAGGAGGGCTGTCTTGTCGGAGTCCTTAATCTCCTTCAGGTTCGGCCAAAGGTGGCGCTCGAGGAACACCAAACTGGCCTATACAATCAAATAACCAGAGTTTTCCCTCTTCCTACCATTCCAGTACCTCTACCTAACTCAACCCTAGTCTTCATGCCATTACCAGTCATTCAGCCAAAGGTGGTCCACCAAACTGGCCATGACCAATCGCTTGGGCCGTAGACTTAGTGGCATGCAGGGCGAGGTCGGTCGCGGTGCACAGCTCTCTGAAGGCCGCGGGTCAAGACCAGTTTCATCCACAGTGCAGAGAAGCTTGACCTGGTAGACTTGAAGAACCGCCATTGTAATCATTTAATAGATTTGAGGAATTAGTAACTACGGGGGCAAATACATTTTCACGCCGGCCCTGGTGGTTTTGGATAACCTTTTTGTTACAATAAATAACATTGTGATTTACAAACTGCACTTTGTGTTTACTCAGGTTGTAATTTCTGAATCAATTTAGTATGAGATGTACACAAAAACAGAAGTAATCAGGATGGGGGCAAATACTTTTTCACTGCATTATATGATCATATCACTGTATTGTCTTCTCTTCACTGTAATCTGGTGTTTTATGTATTTTTGTTCAATTCTAGGAGGAGCTCAATACAGCACTGAAGACCTTACAGGAGAAACTGAAACACAATAGAACAATGAAAGCAGAGTTTGAGGAAACAGTTCAACACATCAAGGTGAGGAAACAGAAACGAGAGTCATTTTCATTCCAGCTGTTGGACACTATATACAGTTATGATTTGATATAATGGATTCCAGTTGATTATTTCTGTAAATGACGAGCAGCAATCTGCTTCTGGATCAGTTTTATGTCGGGTATGGGAGTTTATCCTGGATATTAATGATGTAAAGTGTGGATTGAGATGATTGAAGTGAATGTGATGTGATTTCAGGCTCAAGCTGAGCACACAGAGCGTCAGATTAAACAGCAGTTTGAGAAGCTTCATCAGTTTCTCCGAGATGAAGAAGAAGCTACAGTCACTGCACTGAGGGAGGAAGAGGAGCAGAAGAAGCAGATGATGAAGGAGAAGCTGGAGGAGATGAACACACACATCTCAGCTCTTTCACACACACTCAAAGACATGGAGGAGATGATGAAAGCCAGTGACGTCTGCTTTCTGAAGGTCTGATTTCAGATCATTGGTTGATCATTGGTTGATTGATTGAGTTCTTGATGATAATGGTGTGTTTGTTCTGCAGGAGTTTCCAGTCTCAATGGAAAGGTGAGTGATCTGCTCCTGTCTCTGGTCTCTCTGGTTCTGATCCAAAGCCACTGCAGTTCTGACTCCTGAATGTTCTTCCAGAGTCCAGAGCTCACGGCCGGATCCACAGATGGCTTCTGGAGCTTTGATTCATGTGCCACGATACTTGGGCAACCTGCCGTTCAGAGTCTGGAAGAAGATGCAGGACATCGTCCAAAACAGTGAGTCTGAACATCTGAGCCGGACATGATGGATTAAAGAGATAGATAGATAGATAGATAGATAGATAGATAGATAGATAGATAGCATAGTGCAACATTAACATTATATGGATAGATAACACGATTAACATATTGTTAACATAGTGCTAACATGATTATCATGCTGCTACTGTGTTTTAGCAAGCATTGTTGACATGTTTCAAAACTTAGCTAATTGCTATTCTGCTAGCATTTGTAGCATGATGGAAGTCCTGTTTTCTAGCATTAGTCAATGGAGCCGACCGCCATGAGTCTACGATGTTCTGGTGCAGAGATATAGATCTTGCTGAACAGTTGCTAGGGTAATCTGTTTAGTTGCTAGGGAGTGGTTTGGCAGCTGCCAGTGATGTTACTTCAAAGGCTGCTTGCCAGTCTGAATGATATAAACCAACTTCAACTCCTCTATGACATTCAGACTAGAAGATATCCCTCTTTGGATTTGGGTTGCTAGGGTGCTCGACAGTGGTTGCTAGGGCATGGCTAGGAAGTGTTCAAGGTGATTTATGATTGGCTGAGCCCACCCTCATGTTTCTATGACACTTCTATCCAAAGATATTCCTTATGATCTCTTTGAATGGACGTCTATGGGATTAGTTGCTAGGGTGCTCTGAATGGTTGCTAGGGCTTGGCTTGATAGCTTCACAATGATCGCGACACTGATTGGTCGTCTGAGTGCAGTAGTGTAGATCTTTTGCCAAGCGTGTCAGAGGTTACGGGTTCTAATGCGCACTCGTATCGTTTTTTTTTTCTCTCTCTCATCAAAACCGAATATAAATAAACACAACATTATGTTTAAATGTCCGTTTTGGAAAGTATTCACGTAAAATATGTCGGTTATGTCTTAAACAGAGTTGCCATATCCAGTCTCTTTGGTAGAGAGAGAGAGAGAGAGAGAGAGAGAGACATGAGGAAAACAAACAAGCATGCAAATGGAAATTATTATGGTTGGAAAAGTTATCGAGCTCATTTTTTTTTTATTGTGCGATTAATTGATTTATTGACTATCGCGACAGGCCTGATCCAGATTAATGACAGCTAGCCGTGAGCCGTGGCTAAGCTACCAGCTGTTAGCCACTTAGCTAGCTAACAACGCTACCTAGTCAGAGCAAACTACCACAAAAATAATACATTTGATTTTTATATTTTTAATACCTACATTTCCCATGATTAACTATAAATCCTTGGTGGCCAGGTGCCGCACTTTTACGTCTTTTACCCATCCAGACACAGAGTATTGATATACATCGGTCCTTCAAGCGATCCCCACTGTAGTCTATGGGCAGGAGTTATGCACAAGATATGGCGGCGTTCTGTTTGGAGTGACGGAGGTGCATCTATCAATAACGAATAACAATAGATGATTTGCCTTCACTAATAATAAATCATTTCTGTTGTGTTTGACTTATGTTGGCTTCAGAAATTATTTATTACACAGAATAAACTAATTTAAAACAAAACACAGACTATAGACCATTTCACAAGATGTAAACAACACTGGTCCAGAAGCACTTCCTGTTTCAGTTTGTAACTGTTTTCTTTATTTCACATGTAAAGAAAACATCTTAAAGATGTTTGTTTAACTTTTTGATTCAGTTTTAAATGTTCTGTTGGTTGTATTTTATCCCAGCTTTATGTAGTGTTAAAAAACTGAAACAGGAAGTGCTTCTGGACCAGTGTTGTTTACATCTTGTGAAATGGTCTATAAGAGGAAATAAATGAAGATGATCAGAAGCTGCTGAAGATCAGACACACACTTCCAGTTTTTCATCCACAGCATTAATATCAACAGATCTCATTGATTTATTGTTATTGAACTTTCCCAAAGTATCAGTTTCTCTTGATGGACACAAATGTCATCATCTCATATTTAATGTGTGTAGTTGATGCCGTTAAACGCTGATGATAAAACGAGTGTGACACTAATAACAGCACTGACAGTGATCAGAGGAAAATGAGTTTGATCAACAGGACGAGTGTCATAATTCGTCATAATTCATAATAATCTGGGTTGTATGGAAGCTTAAGTGTAGCATTATTCAATTTGAAATTTAATATGCAAAATGACAATGCAATATGTAAAATGGCATTGCATTTTGTATTATTTAATATGCATTTTGAAACGCTTTATAAGTGGCAAAATTAAAATGAAAATGCATTACAGAAAATGATTAGATATGTGTAACATGTTCAAGCAAAAACTGTGGCAAAATGATCATTCAAATGCTATTTTTCTTAATTGCATTTACACTCACTGTCAAAACACTTGCGATTGCATTTTCATGAAATGCCCCGCAATGGATGTAGCAAAATTCAATGTGCACATTGAAAATGCATTCCGAGCCGATCACGCCCCCTCCTGGCCTGTCAATCACTGCATCAAGGCGGAGCTCAGCAACAACAGGTAAACATAACATGTTATGGCTATGTTACGTGTTTTGAGCTGTTGAAAAAATTGCTACAGCAGAGCTAATACGAGCGTTAAATCACTTAGCAGATGAAGTGGAGCGTAAACAGAGAAAATGCCGTATTTCCGAAGATTATTACGTGTATGTAGGTGATAGAACAGTATGTTGTTGAAACGTCTGGGAGGATTTTCTACCTTATCAGGCACCGACACCCGTTTGGCTGCTGACCTCTTAATCAGAATCAGAATGGGGGTTTATTCGCCCTGAATGTTTGTACAGACAAGGAATTTACTTTGGCTGGAAGGTGCAAACATATAACATACAACATGGGTACATACTATAATAACACAAAAATGTGCCCACATGGGGTCCCTGATGCAAATATGACAAAGTGCAAAAATAGCAATGAGTTCAAGTTTGAGGTCAGAGTCACTGAGAGCTCCAGGCCTTGTTAAAGGGTTAGTTCACCCAAAAATGAAAATTCTGTCAGTATTTACTCACCCTCATGTTGTTTCAACCCCGTAAGACCTTCGTTCATCGGAACACAAATTAAGATATTTAAGATATTAAGATCGCTCCTGCATACAGTCCATAGGCTTCTTGAGGTACTGGCTCTTGCTGTCCTCGAAAAGTCATTAAAGACATCGTTAAAATAGTCCAAGTGACTAGAGTGGCTCAATCTTAAGTTTATCAAACGACGAGAACACTTTTGTGTGCAAAAAACAACAAAAATAACGACTTTATTTCAACTATCACTTCCTTCTCCATGAGCCTGTAAGTCAGTTAACGTAGTGTGATTGCGTAGAGCTACGTCACACGTAGGCTCACTATTGGCCGACGCTGGTCATGTGTGTGTGATGCTGTGTGACGTACAATAACAGAAGCTTACGTTATTAAACTAGTAACCTGACTCGCGCAGAGGGAGAAATAAACCAATAGTTGAAATAAAGTCGTTATTTTTGTTGTTTTTTTTGCGCACAAAAGTGTTCTCGTCGTTTGATAAACTTAAGATTGAGCCCCTGTAGTCACTTGGACTATTTTAACGATGTCTTTAATGACTTTTCGAGGACAGCAAGAGCCAGTCCCTCAAGAAGCCTATGGACTGTATGCAGGAGCGATCTTAATATCTTAAATATCTTAATTTGTGTTGCGAAGATGAACGAAGGTCTTACGGGGTTGGAACAACATGAGGGTGAGTAAATACTGACAGAATTTTCATTTTTGGGTGAACTAACCCTTTAAGGAGGCCAGTAGCAAAAGGGAAAAAACTATTCTTATGGCGCGAGGTGCTGGTCTTGATGGATTGCAGCCTCCTGCCAGAGGGGAGTAGCTGAAACAGGGAATTACCAGGGTGGGAGGGATCTGCCACAATCCTCTGTGCTCGTTTCAGCGCCCTTGAGGAGTACAAGTCCCCGAGGGAAGGCAGACTGCAACCGATCACCCTCTACGCAGTGCGGATGATACGCTGCAGTCTGCTCTTATCTTTGGCCGTGGCAGCAGCATACCAGGTGGCAGTGTTGTAGTACTCGAGACTCGGACTCGGTCTCGAGACCATATTTTAATGGTCTTGGTCTTGTCATGGACTCGTGTGCATTTGGACTCGGAATCGACTCGTACTCGAACATTTTTTTTTTTTTAGGACTTGGAATTATTCCCGAGTCCACTCGAGTTCAATTCAAAATATTTTTCATGATTATTAATGTATGTTAATAAAATATTTCTTTAAATTGATTGACACGCCGAGTGATTGGTGATTTTCTAGTGCGCAACTGCGCATGACAAATTGTAATAAAATTACTTTTAACACCACCTACTATGTGGCCTTTTTACCCTAAACTGATCATATTTTTTAAACTCTAAGTAAATTCAGTAAAATAAAAAAAGGATTTCTCTAAGTAAATAAAAGTAAATTAGGTAATCAACCCTCACTGGTCTCGGTCTCGACTCGGACTCGACCGTCTCTGGTCTCGGACTCGACTTGGAATCGACTCTCTATGGACTCGGTCTCGACTCGGACTCGACCGTCTCTGGTCTCGGACTCGACTTGGAATCGACTCTATATGGACTCGGTCTCGACTCGGACTCGACCGTCTCTGGTCTCGGACTCGACTTGGAATCGACTCTCTATGGACTCGGTCTCGACTCGGACTCGACTCTCTCTGGTCTCGGTCTCGACTCGGACTCGACTCTCTCTGGTCTCGGACTCGACTTGGAATCGACTCTATATGGACTCGGTCTTGACTCTGACTCGACTCTCTCTGGTCTCGGTCTCGACTCGGACTCGACTCTCTATGGACTCGGTCTCGACTCGGACTCGACCGTCTCTGGTCTCGGACTCGACTCGGACTCGACTCTCTCTGGTCTCGGTCTCGACTCGGACTCGAGTGAGGTGGTCTCGACTACAACACTGCCAGGTGGTGATGGAGGAGGTGAGAATGGACTATGATAGCTGTATAAAAGTGCAACATCATTGTCTTCGGGAGCTTGAATTTCTTCAGCTGCCGTAGGAAGTACATCCGTTGAAGTGCGTTCTTGGCGAGGGAGCTGATGGTCCGGTCCCACTTTAGGTACAGGGAGAGGATAGTGCCCAGGAAACAGAAGGACTCCACAGTGTTTACTTGGGAGTCGCCCAGGTTAATGGAGGTAGGTGGGGCTGTGCCTTTTCTAAAGTCCACAACCATCTCCACTGTCTTTAGAGCATTGAGCTCTAAATTCTTCTGACTGCACCAGGACACCAGGTTGTCAACTTCCCACCTGTAGTCAGACTCGTCCCCTTCAGAGATGAACCCAATTAGGGTGGTGTCATCTGCAAACTTCAAGATCTTGACTGGAGGTGCAGCTGTTGGTGTAAAGGGAGAAAAGCAGAGGAGAAAGGACGCAGCCCTGAGGGGAGCCGGTGCTGATAAACGGGGTCAGAGACCAGTGACCCCAGCTTAACGCACTGCTTCCTGTCAGACAGAAAGTCTGTGATCCACCTACAGGTAGAATACGGTACATTGAGCTTGATGAGCTTGTCCTGTAGCAGGGCTGGGGTGATGTTATTTAAGGCGCAACTAAAGTCCACAAACAAGATCCTGGCATAGGTTGTCGGAAAATCCAGGTGCTGGAGGGTGAAGTGTAGGGCCATGTTGATTGCGTCGTCCACAGACCTGTTGGCTCTGTAGGCAAACTGCAGGTCATCCAGAAGAGAGTCTGTGATTGATTTGAGGTGGGCCAGCACCAAACGCTCAAAGGACCACCGACGTCAAGGCGACCGGTCTGTAGAGCTGGTGGAAGAACAGATGTATTCCAGACTGATCTCATGAAGTAGCGTGTGTATGCCACGCCAATTCGTATTTCCATTTTTGGCGTTCTATCAAGATGCATAATCGCCTTTCAGCGCGTTTATGAACGCCGTTGACTTAACGTTATATAAATATATGACTTACCTCAACCCCGTCCCTAAACTTAACCGTCACTGGGGTTAATGGCATTTATGACTGGAGATTTGACTGCGTGTACAGACACGCGGAATGACGCGGACGTTAATAGCGTAGACATACACGGATACACGCGGATAGCTCAAAATGCGTAGAGATAACACGCCACCTGACTCGAAAGTGGCGTGTATGTTTACGCAAAAGTCATGATGTCATGTTGTGTATTGGGATAGGCCTAGGGGACTGGGGAGACCACCCGTGGAGATCCTTGGCGAGGCCATAGAGGGGTATCTTATGTATGGGTTAAAAGTTAAATATATCGCGGCCTTGTATGGAGTTAGTCCATGGACGGTCCATCGCCGAATGCAGCAGTGTGGACTGAAGTAAACAACAACTTAAATATATTTTAATTAATAAAAGCATGTGTTGATTGTCTCATCAGCTCCTGTGATTCTGGATCCAAACACTGCGAATCCACGTCTCGTCCTGTCTGATGATCTGACCAGTGTGAGAAACAGCGGGAACAGACAAACTCTTCCTGATAATCCAGAGAGATTTGACTGGTATCTCTGTGTTCTGGGTTCAGAGGGATTTAACTCAGGAACACACTGCTGGGATGTGGACGTTACAGAGAGTGAATTCTGTATTCTTGGAGTAACTACAGCATCAAAACAGAGGAAGGGAGACGGTTTCTTCAACACTGATGTCTGGAGAGTGGAGTATGATCCGTACGAACTGTATTTTAGTTCTAGTTTTCCTGTTAAACAGAAGCTTGATCGTGTGAGAGTGAATCTGGACTATAATGGAGGAACGGTGTCGTTCTCTGATCCTGTAACTAACACACATATACACACACTCACAGACACCTTCACTGACACACTCTTTCCATTCTTCTGGTGTTTTTCTGGCTCTCTGAGGATCTTAGCAGTCAATAGTCAGTACTTTACACTCCTGTAGATCTGGATCTTCCTGCTTTCATCATGTTTCCAATATTTACTCCATCTCACATGAGTAAGACTAAATGAATTATTATTTGAGTTATTGAGGTGAAATGATCATTTGTTCTTTGGAATAAATGAATGTAAAAAGTTCTTGCTGATCCACAACAGTGTTGAATGAAATAGAAATACTTAATATAGAAATACTTGATTCAGATGTTTATAACTGAATCTTACAACAAATGATCAGTTTCTCTAAGACTCACTGAAAACTCTTGAACTGTGTTTTAAGCAAATAAATAATATGTGATTATGTGATTTAATGTTCAGAGTGAAAGATTAAATGTTTGGGATGATAATTAGGGTTTAATAAGTATTATTTTATAATACTGTAAAATATTTTGTGTTTTAATTATTCTTATTTGTTTTGAATATTTTAATTTCTTCTATGTAAAGCATTTTATATTACCATTGTGTATGAAATGTGCTATATAAATAAACTTGCCTAAGTCATGGAAACAATATTTATTCAAAATGAGTGGGAACCCAAAATGTTTGTCATGAATCGCACCTCTGTGGCTCCATAAGACCATCTACTTCTCCTGCTTCAGCTGGGTTTTTCTTCGTGAAGAAAAAGGATGGAGGATTGCGTCCCTGTATTGATTACCGCAGTCTAAACGAGATCACCGTGAAATTTCGCTACCCATTGCCATTAGTCCCCGCTGCTCTTGAACAGCTCCGTACCGCCAAGTATTTTACCAAGCTTGATCTGAGAAATGCTTATAACTTAATACGGATCAGAGAGGGAGATGAATGGAAGACAGCCTTCTCAATCACTACGGGGCACTATGAATATACAGTGATGCCCTTCGGATTAGCCAACAGTCCCTCAGTATTCCAGTCCTTTGTCAATGAGATCTTCCGTGACATGCTAAATCAGAACCTCATTGTTTACATTGACGATATCCTGATATACTCAGAGACTTTTGAGGATCATGTGAGAGATGTGAGAGTGGTATTACAACGGCTCATGGATAACCAATTGTACGCCAAGTTACCCAAGTGCGAGTTTCATCAGACGCAGATCGCCTTCCTAGGTTACATCATCAGTGCTGAGGGGGTCACCATGGATAGCAGTAAAGTTGAAGCAGTGGTAAACTGGCCACAACCCACTAACATCAAACAACTGCAACGTTTCCTGGGCTTTGCTAACTTCTATCGACGATTCATTAAAAACTTCAGCATCATCGCAGCACCACTTACGTCCCTACTGCAAGGAGGTGGACATCAGTTAAAGTGGTCATTTCTGCCTTTCAACAGTTAAAGGAAAGATTCACCACAGCTCCCATTCTGCACCATCCAGACCCTGAGCGGGAATTTATCGTGGAGGTAGATGCATCCGATACAGGCATTGGGGTTATACTGTCACAGCGGCAGGGGAATCCAGCAAAACTTTTTCCTTGTGCTTTCTACTCACGTAAGCTTAATGCTGCAGAGAGAAATTATGACGTAGGTGACCGGGAACTACTGGCTATGAAAGCAGCATTAGAGGAGTGGCGTCACTGGTTGGAGGGAGCTCATTTGCCTTTCACCGTTCTGACTGATCACCGTAACCTTGAGTACATCAAGACCGCCAAGAGACTGAACCCCAGACAGGCCAGGTGGTCCCTCTTCTTTAGTCGATTTAATTTCAAAGTAACTTACCGTCCCGGTTCCAAGAACGGCAAGGCTGACTCTCTCTCACGGCAGTTTGACAGCTCAAACGGTCCTCGCACATCAGAACCCATTCTTCCTCCAACTCTCATCGTGGCTCCTATCCAGTGGGACATTATGACGGAGATTTCGGCTGCACAGCACGAGGAACCATCACCACCAGAGTGTCCACCAGAGCGCACCTATGTACCTACCCGTCTTCGCACCCGAGTATTGGAATGGGTGCATAATACCCCCAGCGCAGGTCATCCTTGGATCACAGCCACTATTCATCTGGTAGCCAACCGGTTTTGGTGGTCGACACTTCAAACAGACGTAATCTCCTTTGTACATCAATGCAATGCCTGTAACATTTCCAAATCATCCCATCATAAACCGGCCGGATTACTCCAACCACTTCCAGTACCACAACGACCATGGTCCCAGAGCCGGCTTCAGACCGCTTTTAGCAGGGGGGCATTTATTTTCAATGGGTGGGCACTAGGTAGGTATGGGGACTTTTTTTCCGATATTAGATATCCTATATTTATTATTGCTACTGCCATTTTTCTGTTAGCTATTAACATGAAGTAATGCAACCCACACAATAAACACATAAAACATTACACATTGTTGCAAGACGAGCGACTCTTAAGAAATTTGATCAAGGGTTAAATAGGCCTATACAAAAAAAAAATTGCAAGACCGACTCTGACCACAGCTTTATAATAGCAAAGCTAACGAACATGTACATGAAGAGTTCAGATGCAAAAGCCTCTAAGTGCCATTTGAAATTTTCTTCTAAAATGATCATTTTTATCAAGCTTGTATATTTAAGTTCAGTAATTTCACTTAAATGGCAATGAAGATTACCTATTAATTGTCATTTAAGTGAAATTACTGAACTTAAATATACAAGCTTGATAAAAATGGTCATTTTAGAAGAAAATTTCAAATGGCATTTAGAGGCTTTTGCATCTGAACTCTTCACATAGTCTCTCACTGACAGAATAGCCGTTTATATGCTATCTCAATGGCGGAAGTGAGAAAAAAAAAAGCTAAGTTACTCATCTTTATTCTGCTATGTTCTAACATAAGCATTTACATTCGTAGCCTTAAAAAAGCATCATGTAGTTACCTTTATCAAATAAAACCTTTAACACCTTTAACAAATAAAAAGCACCTACAACATACACAGATATTATTCTACAATTTCCATTTACAAGAAAATATATATAGGCTTAAACACCTGTTTCTACAATGGACAATGGGCAGCGCAAAAACTAGGCCAACTAAACTATTAGTTTCATCACGTGACAACACATAGTGAACATTACAGTACATGCCAGTTAGATAAATAGCTACACTTACGACTCGGACTCGACTGTCTTTGGTCTCGGTCTCGACTACAACACTGCACGGTAGAAGCACCAAATACCAAAGCCGGGCTGTCGTTGTCTTGCTGTATGGGGTAATCGATGTGTAAGGAGAAACTGTGGTATTGAACCATTTTATAATTTCCATTTTTGGAGAGTTTTCATCCGTTTGCTTTGTTTTGATTGCAGGAAGCTCGCGCGATCGCGCCAACTGAAAATCATTTCATTCAAATATTAACGTGCGTGATTGGGGGGGCGGCAGGGGGGTTTCCTCACAGTGTCACACTGTGGTTTTTATGTTGGCTTTATTGTATTTTCAGCTAATGAGCCGTTTGTAGACATATATTTGTACTATTTCTCACTGAAATGTGAATTAAATTAAACTGATATTATTTTGTAAATTATATCATAATTCAATTTGGGGGGGCACAAAATACATTTGGGGGGACATTGCCCCCTAATGCCCCCCCATAGCGCCGGCACTGCATGGTCCCATATTGCCATTGATTTTATCACTGATCTTCCCCCATCCCAGAATTTCACCACCATTCTCACAGTGGTTGACCGGTTCTCGAAGGCTTGCAGGTTCATTCCGTTGGCCAAACTTCCCACAGCCCTACAGACAGCCGAAGCTTTGGTGCAACAAGTGTTCCGGATGTACGCAGGGCCGTATTAAGAGCTCACTGGGCCCCGGGGCTATGAGTTACTGCAGGGCCCCCCCACCACTTTAGGTCACCAACTACATGAGCTAAATGTTATATTATTATACGAGTCATTTTATCCATCTATGATATACTTCACAGTTAAGTTATGTTACTTTTAACACGATTTTTTATCATATCAAAATGTATTGACTAAAATTTCATAATTATTGTGACCAATTTCAATATCACCAAAAAATAATAGTAGCTTAAGAAAATAATCTCAAGCTTACTGATGACAAGAGTCACAAATTAAAATAGAACAAAGGCACAATAAATCGACCTATGAAAAACTTAAAGCACTGAATAATATTATATTATATAAAGTAATCAAATATACAATACATGGTTTTCACTATAAATTCAACATTCATTCTTGTTAATTTTGCAAAAGTAATTCAGTCAAACGCAGTAAATTACTTTCTTTCTGATGTTTGATTAACATTATTGACACACATGGCGACAGCAGCTTTATTAGCAGCGTCTGTCACTTTGAGACCTCAGAGTCGGATTCAAGTGCGCTGTGCAAAACCGTCTCAAGTTCACCACAGTCTATGGTTCACCTTGGTCTCAAAACCAGCATTTACAAAATATATTCTCCCGCTGCTCACTGTGCCTGAGCAGTTTGAAATAATTTGTATCCAAACCACAACGTTTAAAAACGCGTTTAAATGATAAACTTACATCATGATGGCGCAGCAAAATTTAAATATTTCTACCGGATATATTATCGCCAGCCCTTTAGGCGAATATAGAGTTTAATCAAACACAAAAAGCAAAATTATACATCCATCAAGTTAATATTCAAACTTACCGAAAGTTTGTGGGGTCGATGACGCTGTGTTTTAAGAATAGACTAGATTAGAATGAAGAGTAAAGGCGATTTATTGGTTGATGTATAGCCTATTCTAATAAGGCGCAGGCAGCAATCATCTATAGGCCTAACTTACGTGCAGTAGCAGGTCGGTCGTTCACAAGTTAAATATAGAATAAATGTATTTGTCATATCAAATTAAAACCTGACGTTTCAATTTACCATGCCCTGCTCAGAGCCGTTGGCCCTGCATGCCTACGGGGGTTTGATTGACAGGTGGCCTGGCCAATCATAACGCCGAATACGCAACTTTGTCCGACAACAAAGCTGTCAGTCGGTGGACATGAACTTGAAAACGGTAATGTTTAAATTGACAATATTTGAAAATGACAATATTTGAAAGTTGAGACTTTGTTTCATATCATCAGTAAGCTGCTCTGAACTCTCTCTCGTAATCACTCAGTGTAACGTTAGTCTTTGCCCCGC